TGGTCGATTTTGAAGAACGCACTTCATTCTACAAAACAAGACGCTTTCCAGGATTCTACGATATTCCTTCCAAATATTATAGGATAGACGAAAACAGAAAAAACGGTAACGCACAGACGCTCCGGTAGCAGAGTTAGGCGTTTTTCATGCTCAGTCACAACCTAAACATTCATCCTGTTATAAAAATACAAGGTTAATCACATACTTCCAACATTGCTTTCGGTGAAGGTAAGTCGCCCGATGCAAAAACAGCACAGTAAGTCTAAAAAGAAATGACAAAACTGTTACAAAAAGCAAAAATATTTAAGAGCAAAAACTCTTACCCGAAAATATTCAAATAATTGTGTGGAGGTTATTTGTTCTCCATTTATTTCTTTAACAAAATTAGTATTATCAGATCGAAATATATCTGGTACAAGTTTGTTTAATTGATCTTTAAAATCTTTCTCAATATCTAAGCATAATCGTAAAACATATTTCTCATTATTCACAAAGAACAAAAGATAATACCTTCTAATCTTCCATCAAAATCTCGTCTGTTTGTAACTTTCAATCCAGGATGTGGCATAAGAAAACAATTTACTTTTCTAAAACATTGTCTTAAACGTGATCGAACTAATTCTAAATCACGATGTTGATTTGGACGAATCTAGGAGCAAAATAGCATTTAGTTATTAAGAAGAAAATAAAATAAAATAAATATAATCAAACATACAAGTAATCTTTGTGATAAAATTTCTTCTCCACCTTCGAAACCATAGGGTGTCTCATACTCGAATTGCCAATCACGCACCAAAAATGATAATTGCTAAATAAAAAAATGTCAGCATTAAGAATTTGATTTATTATCGTTTGAACTGGAAGAAAGGCGAAGCATACTTGAAATGGAGATGTTTGATAAGCATCAATGGCTAATACTCCATATTCAGCAAAAAATGATAAATGTTGTAAATTATCTTCTTGCAAATTATGCATAATATTATAAACGGTTACACTACTAACTAACAATGTTAATGCAAATATAAATGCATTTTCAAATACAGTTGAATTTGAATCAAATGTTCCTTGAGTGTCCATTAAAAGTACAGCAATCTAGATAATAATAAAATACATTCGGCGATTTTCTATACAATTTTCACTAATAAACCCAGGTACCTCTTCACCACTCGGTAATGACATTAAAAATGGTTCACTCCACATCAACATTCCTGTTGTATGTCTTCCAGCTCCACCACGCCAATCAAATCCTTTTAACGGTTCATTCTCTTTACCAATCCAGTCTTTAGCATCCTAATACAAACAAAATTTCGTCAAAGATAATAAAAATACAAGACTTTACTTACTTTTGCTCGTAAATAACGTAGAAAAAAATCAAGTAAAAATGATTTGCCTTTTCGAAAATCACCAGCTATCGACACGAGTGCTACCTAAAAAAGTTGATAATAAAATACAAAAATTCTTGTTCAAAACGAGATTTAACAACATACTTTCTTTCCATGTGCTTTGTGATGATATAAAATTTCTTTTAACTTTTTTTCATCGAGTACAAATTTATGATCCTCAGTGATTGTCACAATTTGAACGGGCCTCGGCTCCATATGAAAATCTGGAAGAAAAATAGTGTTATTAAAATTTCAGGATCTTGATAGCAAAAAACGATCCTGTAAATTTAAAATCATGTCTCAGTTTAAAAAATAATTATAACTAGTTTAACGATAAAAGAAAATGGCTTTTGGCATATCAGAACGTTGAGGATTAAGACACTCGCATTTAATATCTAAAAAATAATTCACTCTTTTGGTAATGTGAAATTGCTTCACAACTTTTGAACTTTAAAATAGAAGAAATCTCGCTATTCACAATCAGTATTCAAGGACCATATCACAAAAATAAGTTACGTAGTTCACATTCAGAGTAGTCATTGTCAATCTTTAATTACTCCGATTAAGGTAGGTATTCTTGTGCTACGGTCCCCAAATTTTCTTTTTATCGTAATAATTCGACTTTTAGCTTCTATTCTGGATCGGCTACTTGAGAACGAAACTTAAGTATACCGGTACGAAACAACAATTAAATTTGGTCAGAAGTCCATCGTTTTTGGTTCACGAATTAGGTTAAATCGCGTCACATTTATACTTCATATTTCAACTGTAAATATAAAAACTGGAATATATGCGCACATTTGTAGAACTACACGTTTTTGTTCGTTCTTTTTCGTTCTCCGTATTGTCTTTTAACCGTTTTCTGTCCATCCAAACGAAATGAGATAAAGTGTGGAGGAGTTGAAGTATCTATGCATTGAAGTTATTGAATAGAAGGGGAAGGGTCACTCTCTATAACGACAGACGAGTTACTCAATGAAAATGGATGTAAATCTTCAGTAGATTTACGAAACACCAACTTTGCTAGTAGTGAGTCTTCGTTATTGCATGCAAATCATGTCATTCTCATCAAGACTCAAGTTTACTTTTCTGATGATTTTAGTTTTTGTGTACGCCTATTCCATTTTCACAATTTAATTCACACAAAACATACATATTGTGTTTTAGATGAACAAAATAATTTTCAATGAAAGACAACAAGAGATCAACTTCTGCAATATTTGCCTGTGCTTATTTAAAACAACCGAAAACGATTCATGATCCTATTTGTTCAAACAATGTTAAAGAGCTAATGACAGGTCTCCATCAGTTTTGTTCTTGAACTTGAGACATTGAGTTAAGTATATAGATCGACGTAATTCTTTACGTCCGTATTATTACTGTCCGTATTATTTGACCATTGTTTTTCTATCAATTGTTTTCTAAAAAACTAACAATTTTCTTCTTCTCTAACAAATTGTTTTCATTGACACAAGTATTCTAGAGACTTGTACAGTTCTTTCAAAAATTATCACAAAATCAGCCCGCTTTATTCTTATATTTTATTCAGTCTCGTTAAATTGATGACGATTTAGTTCTTTGAGTTGATTTTGAACTGTATGAGATAATTTCTACTCAGGTAGTTCACCGATTTTCGACGCACCAGATCAATTTTTTGGGAGTATAACCGAAAAAGCGAAAGAGATGAATGTATGGAATTCTTTTTACTTTTTCGTTTACAATATCGTTTGTTAATTGTTTTTATTTAGTTACAACTATTTGTTTCTTATTTGTGTTTTAAACAAAACGCTTCCGACATTGGAAAGTAGTTGTTCTTGATGAATGTACTGGTTGAAGTATCCTCATATAAGATATTTGTCGACCGAAATATTATTTTAAAACTAACAGAAAACTCATTTATTAATTACTTTAGCTGTTTCAAAATAAATGGCAAAAATATCCACTTCCAAAAAGTTTCTAACTAATTAACTCTCCTGCAAAAAACTTGTTTACTGGCGCTTATTCGGCACCAGTGTGCACTACACTAGTGCCGAAAAGATTTTCAAGTTTCGCACTGATACGCACGCATCCGCGCGGATTGATACTTTTTCATAGGCAGAGATGTGCACCGGTGCCGATATATCATACTTTACCAGCATTCCTGAGCACCACTGCCAAATTTTATTTCAATCACCGTTTTTTGTTGACGTCCATCTATATAAACACCAAAGTATACTTGTAATGTAATGTACTTTAATTAATGGAAAATTAAGAAAATGCAACTAAAATAAAGAACTGACTAAATAAGTTTCAGGGTGGCACTGATTTTTACTAGTGTAGCACGTTTCTGGCATAAATATATCGGCACTGCCTGGCCCGCCAATCGGCACTTGCTGGGCACGAGTGCACACCGGTGCCAGGCAGTGCCAGTGACCGATATGTGCATTGATTTTTACTAGTGCCGCACTAGAATTTTTTTGTAGGATCAGATTTTTGTTCATTTTTAGTTCGGAATATATCGTATGAATGATTAATAATTATTTAAACGATAATGAACTGAAATAAACAAAAAATTGAAAAAATTTACTAGTGAATAGTTTTTTACCATATCTAGCAACATTTTTAGTGCATTAAAGAGAAAGTAACTTTTCAATTACAGGAATTTTGCAATAATAAGTGACTAATTTTTTGAAAATGTGTATTGTGAAACTCAATGTGAGTTATTTATAGATCGTGACTTAGATAGAGTAACATATCCATTTCAGATTATAAATAAGGATTGTGAGGTTATTGAATTCAAAAAGCTGCCTTTTTTAGGAACAAGGATCAGATAAAACTAGAGATCCTTTTTTTTTGTTTAAAAATAACTTAAATAACAAACATGACAAATACAACAAAAAACGTGAAACATCTAATATTCCATATCTGTGATCTAAACATCTAATATAAGTGTCTGTGTAGAAGAATTGTACAATGATCCCTATTCAAAATCATACACTGGCTTTCCATCTTTATAGCTTTGCATAAATTTTCTCATAATATCTTCCGGCACTTTACATTCTTTCACAGCTTTAACATTTTCCATGGATTTTATCCATGAAGCTAATTTTGGAAATTGATTCGAATCGAGTGTAAAACCAGCATCTGCCAATAGAGGAAGTCTTTCGAACCAAGGCCACATCATGTAGTCAACCATAGCAGGCTGTGCACCTAAATAAAAGACGTTACAATAAAGTTTTATATGTGAGCAAAAGTTACTTCGGAACTTTTCATTTCTAATATTATGTAAAAGTTCGACTTTTTGCTGATTTAAACAAGGCAAACAAAAGAAATCAGAAAAGAAAATCAAACTTACCGCCAAAAAACTTTTCTTCTAATGAATTTTCGTACGAAGACAAATGTTTCTTCATACCATCAATAGCTGCTTTATCTTCAGAATGAGCTATTTTGTAGAATGCTGTTATCAACTAAAAAGCAGTACACATAACCAGGGGTGTTCTTAAAACAACGGTATAAGATAGTCTGGGCTCTGTTTACAGTTTAACTGAAATTGACTCGTGTAGACTTCTTGAAAGCTTGAAATTTGAAAAATACTTTTGTGCTCTTGTAGATCTCAATAATGCTATTATTACGATAGAAAACAAGAAACACTTATTTATTTACATTGCTGACTCGTTCAGTAAGAACACGTTGTTTAGCTTTGTGATATGGATCAAGAGGATGTAAATGATGCTCGGGATAAAATTCATCAAGATAATCTGAGACAACGAAGGATTCTGGAATGAATTTTGTTTGTTTATCGGCTATCCACTCCAAAGCAGGAACTTGCCCAGGTGGATTCTTCGCTAAATACCATTCCGGTTTATTCACAAGATCAACGTTAACTTCTTCATATCTAAAGTACAATAGTTGAAAACAATCATTCTTCATCGAATCAAACGTCAATCAGTTCTTACGGTATTCCTTTAGCTGCTAGAACTAATTTTGCCCGATGTACAAATGGACAAAATCTCATACCATATAAACGTAATTGATTTTCTTTTAATGGTGGACACTCAGATCCTGAAAAAGACAGCAAAAATTAAATATTCTTACGGATGTACATGGTGGTAATATGAACCTGATTTCAAATGTTTTGAAACAACCATTGCAAAAGAAGAAAAAGACCTAAAATTACTAATGTAGTTTGGTTTATAGTTTAGTCAACTTTGAAAATTAGACGTTTTCTTACCTCACATATATACTCTTACAAGGCACAAGAAAAATATGCGATATCAGCATGAGTCTATGAAAATCTTTGTTCCGTTTTTTTTCGTTCTCTATTCATTCATCTATATATAAACGCTTGTCGAATTTCTTATCAATCTTCTGTCAAGATTCTTTGTTCTTGTGAATTCAGTCAAGATTCTTAGATTTTTTTTCTCTTTTTACGCTATATTGATCTATGACATAATCATCTATTTGTTTTGTAAACTTTTATTTTTATCTATACGGGAAATTATAAATTAGTTCAAGCAAAATTTCGATTTTCAACAAGATTCTAGTCGAGGGACCGATTAGTGATCCACAATTTATTTTTTAGTTAACTGTTAGTTTATTCCACAATTGTATTCGATGGGGTCCTGCCGATATAGTGTATTGCTACTATACCATTGTTTATTCAAATTTTAGAGGAAACAGGCTTCGCTTAGAATCACAGAATATATAGATAGTTTTGAATATATAAGAAATAGGTCAAAATTAGAAATCGACAGAATTTTCCTTGGTATTTATTTTTGTAATTTTAGTCAAAAAAACTTATGTAAACTATTTTACAAAGTTCTTTATCTGAAAATACTATACAAGAAACTTGCAACAAGGACAATAAGAAAGTAATAGTAGTAAGCCAAAAAGTGGCGGTAAAAGGAAACAAGTTGGGATGTCGACAGAATCTATGTAAGTTGAAGTCAAATAATAAATCTTCTTTTTCTTCTTCTTCTTTTCTTTTTCTTTCTTCGATTCTATCGAAGAATAAAAAGAATTCTATTAGTACTTGAATGACATTTTTAAAAAAATTAGCATCGTATAAATATATTTTTGAAAATTTTTCTAAGTCCAAAACACATTTTTCTACCACTTATGGAGCTGCCGGAGTCTAATCTGACCTTTTGTTTGAAAAAAGAACGTGCAACTACCGATCTTCGCTATACATAGAATATTCTCCAGTTTCCAGAAGTTTTCTACTGTAGTTCTTTAGATCACGCGGCTCACACAGAGCTGGGCAGCTCCGGCTAAGTACAACTCCAACTCTGACAAAAAGACCCTCAACTCCGCAATTGAGTTGCCCAGCTCTGGGGCACATTTTGCGTAAAAATGTCACCAAATAAAAAGAAAGAAACAAAACTCCCTGCAAAAACGCATAGTGTCTGCTTCTCGAAACAACTTGGATTCTTTTGAATTCTTGTAATGAGCATAGCTTTCATTTTCTTACAAGATTCAATTTCTGTAAAATTCAATAAAGATGAATTCCTTTCTTATTGGAAAAACAAATTTTCATATAAGTGTTTATTTTCACTTACACAGGATAAGATTCACAAAAAAATAAACATCAACAAACCAAATGAACTTTGCGACACTCAAGCTAATAATTTCACAATAATAAGTTTTTATAATTATCACAATCAAGTAAAGAAAATAAAAGCATAAGAGTTTCACAAACACAGCAGTGGTAAACTTCTGTCGCACAAATAAATTGTCAAAAGAGCTGCAAACTTGTACAACATTATCTGTTTTTAAAAAGTAAATTATATATATATAAATTCTAAATTATATATATAGCATAATTATATAGTAAATTATATATATAGCAAACAAATTAAATATTTTTCGAATGTACGGAGTACTTCCGGCACACGTTAGCGAGCGACACTGGGTACTTTTACACTTTAAGTAAACTACCGTCCGGCATCTTGGAAGATGGCGGAATCCATGTAATACAAATGGTAAACTATGGAATAATCAGAAAACGCTGGAGAGGTTGTTTGGTTCGCTGTGGTGCCGCGACAGCTGTCGAAAGTAGCACGGTAACCTAAACAGCCTCTACAGCGTTTTCTGATGGCGGACGGTAGTGTCCTTGAAGTGTAAAAGTACCCGACATTGTGCTTACTTATTGTTCCCTGAATTGAAGAATCCAATAATAATATGAATGATTTAATTTCCCTATGTCCCGATTTTGTCTAAAAACCGATGCTTAATGATTTTCTCTTTTGTCTTTTTAGTGTTCTTGTCTGATACATAACATAACTTATAAATCAAACTTAAAGTAGCCTTCGGTTTTTCTCTGTCTTAGACCACATTTCTAATTGATATCGATGTTATCCTGATCGGATACCTATTGGTCTCTTGTCGTTAATTAACATGCATGATCATTGATCATGTTGACTTGAAAATAAAAGTCATAATTCCCACAAGGAAATGAACGAATTGTCTTGATCACAGTGGGAGAGAGAATGAAATAGCCTTTGGGTGACTAATTGAATGGTCGTGCTTTAACGTGGCATAAGCTTCCAAAAGTTTGATTTAGTATTAACGGCAAACCATGCGGGTCGATTAGCTTAGGTCGAACGATCCAAAAATCACCAGAATCACTGAAGTATTTATCATTACATGTAGAGAAAACTTTAGATTAAGATACTGTGCTTCTATAATGATTGAAAAACAAGATGTATGATGGATGAGCTTGAAAAATTTAGCTAAGAATCTTATCATAAATTTTTTATTAAATCTGCTTCTTGAAAGAAAACAAGAACAAATTCTGTTTCTGGACAGAAAAACGCTGGGAATAAAATAGACATTGACAAAAGAAGGGCTATTTTATTCTATATTAAAATCGCAAATTAAATTTCAACTTCTGTTGCCTACCGAATTCTTTGAATAGCGTCGGTTATAGATCGAACGATTTGGGTGTGTGATAATGAAATGGCACCCAACCCAAACAGGGTTGGAACAGTGCGAGGACGTTATGAAGATTCCGCAGTTCGAAAACTCAATTTTTTAGTATTAAGAAACCAAGTCAAAACAAAAATTATTTGATATCTGTTGGTTGCCGTTCTCAGCGAACTGCTGCTACTGATTGCATTGACCATATGAAGTTACAAGTTAATACTATCCGTACTAAGTCTACTATTAAGTATGAGTCTTTTTTTGTAGATGACCTGAAGAAGACAAATCTGTTTTGCAGGTTACTCATAATTATAACTTCATGACTAATATAAAATGTCTTTACTCAGACCCGCCGTTACTGAGGTGTGAGAAATTTTTTGGAAAAACTGGGTTTTGTTGATTATTCCGAAGGAAAGATTGTAATTTTGTTACTAGGTAGCTATAACTTTGTACTTAAATTCTCGACAACTATTGGCACTGAGGTTGCTACCATGGATGGAGAGCGTGCGCAAATTTTGGACGCTTTCCATGTTTAATCGTGACAGACTTCGGGTTCTTTTTCACGATTTCCACTAGTGAGGACGAAGTTCGCACGAACAGACATATAGAAACAAGTCTCCATACTAGAGCGATTTATGGTTATTTTATAAACAATGTCTCCTATTCCACTGACGGAGCGGGCCTGAGCAGAGATATTTTATATTAGTCATAAAGTTATGGTTATAAGTAATCTACAAAAAAAAGTTTTAACGTACTGGGGGTGATAGTGGGTGGACCATCCCCCTGCTTTCAGAAAAAATTCTGTTTTATGGCGGAACAAATTTTTTCATGTGTTCTTATGATGAAGGACGCACGCGAAAGATCAATCAAGTAAGCAAGGGAAAAATTACAGTTACGTGCGCGTCTCACTTGGGACTGTCTCTGAAGCGTCAGACGTGAACCTGGCCCCAAAACGGTTTTCTTTTGTTCTTCACAAACAACGTTGTTTTTTGGACGAATATATAAATAATAAACTTCTTTTGATAGCACTACCTCTCTGCTCTTGGAACCGACCGACCACTGGTTAAGTTCGGTTGAAGTTTTCAATCGACCGGTTAACACCGGTTTTTCAGCACTTTCACTACACATCAAAAGACCAGCTGATGCCGGTTTCGAACCACAAGCGAAATATGAATACTGTCGAACAAAAGTTCGAGATGTCAATTGGAGTCGCCCCAGCAGAGATGAAAAAAGGCAGTAGATCCCAAAAATGATTTATTAATTCATTTTACATTTGTCAGATTGATGTGTATATATATATATATAACAGTTATTATGCAATGATAATCAGACGTTAACGATGATTTATTATGTGATTCTTCACGTATTCTTTCAAATAGTTGTTTTATCATGCTAAAACAGATAGGATGATTAAATTAAATAAATAGCAAGGATTTTATTCTGCTCGAATCAACCTTCGTAGTCTCCGGTTTCATGAACACACGCTCTCTTGACTTTCGATGGCTGATGTGTGTTATTTATTTCACATTCTAACTAAAGAGACTACTAGAAAAAAACTTTTCGTATTGTGTTGAACTTCGTACTCAATGCTCATTTTCACGTTCATGCTAAAATACCTAAATCCGATAGGTTTTGAAGATAAACAAGCTTAGCTTTCTAAAAAAACATCGATTTTCACAATATCAGATGTGATATAGAATCGACCGGTTTTTTACCGGTTGGCGTACGCATTCAAACCACCGGTAAACCGGCCGTTCCGGTTGGAAAAAATGCAACCGGTTCCAACACTGATGCAAGGTACGCCTCTGTCTCTAGAGATAAGACAGCAAGCTTGTCTTTAGATAGCAGAAAAAACAAAAAGTTGCACTAATCAGTCAGAATAAAAACCCAAAGATTTTCGCTAATTAAACTTGCTTCACCAATTCAAGTAGACAGATGTGATAGCTGGCAGTACTGGTGTTTATTATTTTAATAATTACTTTTAAATGACTTGATATTTATGATAAAATGTCGAAAAATGTTAAAAACAATAAACTGCACTTTGGGAAATAAATAAACATATATTCGACCTTGTCGTAGATTATGCCTCGGTTGTCTATGATAGAACGTTTAAAAAGCTCTTTACATAAGGCTGATGTGATATCAGCGTTTCGATATATGGCTATAGAAAACCTGAACTACAGGAGATGAAAAAACGCTTCCAGCACAACTTTTTCATTACTCATCGTGATCCATTTGTGCTGAAAACTCATGGCGCTAAGATAAACCGCTCTCTAAATATCCACAAGAGGGATGTGGGGAGGAGGGGAGTGTCTGTGAATTAAAATTTAATTTAATCTTAATTTGTGCAGAATGTCGAAATATGGGTCTCGTTCTAAATGTTTCCAGTCATCCAATTTATAATAAAATTGTTCTGTGTCCTTCTATAGTATATTCGGTAAAATTCCTCTGATTGTATAAATTTGATATTTCTTTATAACGGAATGTTTTATCTTCGCTTGTTTTTGTCTTGAACTGAAATGATTTTTCGTGACGACAAATAGGTCGTTCTTCATCCTTTCTGTTAGTTTCCATATGAGCAAAATAAACTTTCACGATATCTGGTGTGATATATTCATACAGTTCATAACGGTCTGATATTTTATGTGACTTTTCGAGTCATGCAGTTGCCAGTGAATGAACCATTTCGAATGTGTTCCATGTCTTTTCGACTTCTCCGAGATGTACAAGATTGCAAATCTTATCGCGACAATATCATTATAATTATAATACACTGCATACTTATTAATTAACAGATCCAAGCCCTACATAACACACACCCATCCTTAATGTATCAGCAGACGATGTTAGTTCAGGTAACAATTGATTATGTACTTTTCCACTTTGTAATTAGATTTTGTTTCTAATAATAAGTTGCTAATTTTAATTAATTTGACCTCGACCGTTCGGTAATCGCTTACTACTTTTAAATGTTGACCATTTGCATCATGTTATCATTGTGAATATTACAAAACTGAAATGTTGAGCCCACCATAAATAAGGTTTCCTGCTCTTCGGCTCCAAAATCACGATTGCTTATGGTCGACAAAAAACTATTGGTAGTAATGATGGCATCAAGCATAAATTGACCATTCAACACTTTAACTTCATCTTTTAATATCTGTTGTCCACGATAAAATCGAAGTGATTACCATTTATTTCATTCCAAAAATTACCATTTTCACTTTTTAGTTGTGAATAGCGTGCGTGATAAATGCTCTGTAAAATTTACCGTAAGAAACTGCATTAAACATTGTATAACACGTTAAGTTTTGAATCGAACAAATATCCATCGGAATTTTTTTCTCATGAACCTGCAAGATCGATTTTTCGAAAAAACTGTTTTTTTTTCTTCACGGGCATCAGATATGAGTAGAAAATGATGATATTCATGGAAAAAACGATTAAGGACCGAACATGTCTGATGTCAGCCTGCTATTAGAGAAATGCACACTGTGTAGGGTCAAGAGTTTCAATTTATTTTAAAAACAAGCCGAACATAAATGTTTCAGCACTTTTGCAATGTCTCAACGCTGATTATAGTATCCGAGAGATATGTGCCTAAGACTGAGTGTCAAAACTACAGACCTCTATCATTCCTGGGTTAATGCAATGTTGAAAACAGATATTGTTTTTATACTTTTCTAGAAAATTTTCGTTTTCGTAGACATACCATATTTTTCATCATGAATAATTTTGGATCAAGTGATTTTATGGCATTAATAAACCTCAGAGGCATTAGAAACCATAGCTCTAAATCGTACGCCATTATGATTCAATGTTATGTTTCACCGGTTAAAAGACGAGCAAAAAATCTAATAAAGCGTTTATCTAGCTGCTTAGAAAATATCTGAATTTGACCGATATCGAAGTAAATTATACAAGTAACAGAGAAAATATATTGATAATGATGAGATCCATGATTCAGCTCGATTCCATTGCTCAAACATTCCCGTTTTCTATTCAACAAGCAACCAAAAATAACAAAATATCTTTCTCTCTCTCTACAAAAACAAATATTCAGATGATCAACAGTAAGTTTATTAATTCTAACATCTCTTCTCTAATCGAGATTATGCATGATTGTCCCTTCCCGAGGGCACCACCGTAACTGCTAGAAAAAAGTAACAATGTGCTAAATCAACATTTTTTCAATCGGATTTTTTTCCCGCGTAAGCTGACGACACTCTATAAGCTCACGATTACCAATAACAAAAACGTTTTCATCAAATCTGAAGAAAGGTATACACGTTTCAAGTTTGATTTGCATGATCAGTTGCCAGGTGTAAAGGGCTAAGCAACTCTACTAAAAAAATTGTAAAGCAGCAACAGTTTTGACTCATTTTCTTATCCGTCCATTTTTAAATAAATGTATGATCGCTGGCAAGTGAATGTTTTGAAATTATATCGTCTAGCATATCTATCTTCGTAATGAAAAAAACTCTCTAGATTATTGGCTTGAACATAATTTCTGGAAGTAAAGCAAATATCAATATCAAAACATGTTGTTTTTATTTTCAAAAGTGTTGTAAAACCTAAAATATTTTTAAATTTTTAATAATACCAATCAAAGTGAACGTTTTACCTTTCTTAATCGCGAAGTGATAGCAAAAAAATGTCTTTATCTTTTCTAATGCACAGACGAACAATAGACAAAATTTTGTTGAAGAAAAAAAAACAACAAATAATTTATTAAGTAACTTGTTTTTCCAACAAAACGTGAGAATCTTCTCTCTAAAACAATGTTTATGAATTCTTTCCAAAATTCTTTCTACCACGGAGTGTTTAGAGTTAAACAAGAGTTATTCCATCCGTGATAGTCATTCGATGAGCGTATTGAACCTCCTTTTTGTCCGTTATAAAGTTTGTCAATATCTATCTCGGATTTGGTTCCTCCTTGATCTGTATTATAAAGAGGATAATAATTTCCAGTAATCGAATCAACATTTGTTTGATTAAAATCTTCACATTTCATGAGGCTATTTTGATAATTACTTATAAAGTTTTGTTTATCGCCGGTACAACTTTGCATCGATGGAGAACATTTTATTGATGTTGATGACGTATTCAAATCTGTGTAGCGTGCTTGATTAATAGCAACAGGAGTCAAAGTGGTTAAATTATGTAATAAATTATGATTGGATGTTTCACCACAATTAGAAAGTGTTTGTTGTTGTTGTTGTTGAGTTTGATTTTGAGATTCTTCAGTACAATAAAATGATTCACCACAATCAACTGGTCTTAAAAGACCAAAATGTTGTTGTTGGTCATAGGTCATATCACATTGGAATGTTGCTTCAAACTGATGTGGTTGATACATCTGACTTTCTCCATTCGAATATGAATAATTGTTATTATTATTTTGTGGCATAGATTCATTAAGATACGTTCCTGATGTTGAGCTACTTCCTAAATAATCGTGATAATGTTGATAGGGATGTTGTTGTTTTTGAACAAGTGACGAAGTTCCACCATGATTATAGACAGAAGTTGGATTGCAAAATGAAGCGGTTTGCTGCATATGAGAGGGATGTGGATGATGATAACTAAATCGTTGTTGATCAGCGACACGATGATGTTGATGAAGAAGATTATTTTCATTTCGAGATGGTTGAGAAAAATGTTGAACAGATGGAGATTGATTTGTATCATAAATATTCGTATTTGGTCCAAGAAGATGCATAGAGGGCGACTAAAAATATTGGAAAATGTATGATTGTTTCACATAATTAAATTAACTTTGTTAAGCTTTTTTATGTCAATTTTGAGTTATATAACAATGATTATGGCGAGAGATTTATATTGAAATTTTACCTGATGAGAAACTTGAACAGCACGATAGGCGGCCAATTTTTTCAAATATTCTTTTTTAGCTGCTGCTGCTTTTCGTTTATATTGCTAGAATAAAGAGAAAAATAATATTTCTTTACCATATATACCTCGTTTTTACCTCTTTGACTTCTGGCTCAATATTCTCCCACATATGTGCAACCACTTTGGATATTTCCCTAATAATGAAATATAATTACAACTAAGAAAATTATTAGTCAATGCAAAAAAAAAAAACATACCCAAATGAAGGACTTGCTAATTTTTTTTTAATTCCATTTTGAGTGTCACGAAAAAATAATGCATACGGTGAAACGGGCCTAAATATTCAAAATATAATTACTAAATAAAATATATAACTATTCAATTTATTAACTTACTTTTGTGGTTCATTGGGATCTTTTCGTTTTTTCTTTGGTGTTTTTTTCTTTTTTATTATTTTATTAAAATTCATATTCTTAAGCAAAAGATAATTAAATGAAATAATTAAAAAATTAAAAAATATTTCTATGTGTTTGTTTATTTCTTACTATTTTCGATGACGTAGTATCATCAAGATCGCTAGTGGATGATTGCTGCGGTGAAAGATTTGTTGATACGGGACTTTTATTTATGATGTGTTGTTGTTCTACTCAAAGGAAAAAATTAAAGAGACTATCGTATACATAAACAATTGCATTAAAACAAACGAATGATGTTTTTAAATTATATTCAAAACAAAAAAAGGAAAAAAACTATTTACCATTTGAATTATTATTATCGTGATTTGCAATCATATTCGTTTCACAATGATATCGATGATGTTGTTGGAAAGGAAAAGGATGTTGCTGCTGTTGATAATAATGACAATGATAGTTGAATGGTTGAATAAACTGTTGGCGTGTTTGTTCTTGTGATACAGCTAAATTATTTTTTTTCGTTAGTAGATCGTTATCTAATTGACATATTGAATTATTTGTTACTACTATACTTGACGACGACGTTGTGGATGTCGGTATATTCAATAACGATGTTATCGTGTCCCCATTTGTTAGAGATTTAATTGGTGACGTATTATGTAATTGATTATAATTTGATGACGGTGACAAAGATTGTTTTTGTTGAGCAGTGATTGACGATGATGATTGTTGATTGTTAATGTAGACAGGTGAACGATTTTGTTGAATTATCTAAACAATATTAAAATAATAATATTATACATAAAAAATTATTCACAATATATATGCTGAACTGGTTTGCTTTTAAAATAAGATCAATATTTCTAGTAAAAATCTTTTTGAGCATAATGACAACGTATCACACAGTTTATAGTACAAACAAGGAGATTATCTTTGTAAAAACTCGAGTATTCGGAGAGTCTCTGTAGTACATTTATGAGAAAAAGATTCATAACTGATAAATAGAAAAATGTTCAATAGTAATTGTAATTTAGTCTATGTAGAAAAAATTCCAGTTCAAATGGATAACCTTTTGATGTAGTCGGTACAAGTAAAAATTTAGTTTAAGAAAAATGTGAAATACTGAGTACTATCCAAACTGTAGTTACTTCGCGCTCAGAATAGAAGAATCGAGTTGATCGACTGACTACGCTGAATTCAATGAATATGTGCAGAGATATGTTCGAGCATATTTAACTGTTCTGAAGACCTTGTATGGTTTATTGGCTACACAAAAGCTAATTGCTTCAGTATTCAAATTAGTATAGAATAAGCTATTAGATCTAAAATCTGTAGAAAATGTCGTATGATATCATTAAACTGTAATTTTAGACAAAAAAACTTTTACATGTATTCGACCGCATGTTGCAAGCGTCCCTACACGTGATCATTGAACTTAGAATGTGTTCATTGATCATTTATACAACTCATATCAACAACAAAAATAGATTTAGTTAGCTCATACTAATGCAACTTATTCCTCGGCATTCTTTAGCCATACAAACTCGAACTTTCAAGATCTATAAAAGAAGATTTAAAAACCAGGAAAACAACGATGCTTGAAAGAACAATGTTCAACTTATATAAAAACAGAGAAAGAAAAACAAAATCGATTTTTATGGTCCTTTTTTGAGAAAAATGAGAAGAGGTATTCTGGATGCGTAAATGATACAACAATTGACAGAGATAAATTATTCTCTCTCAATCCTAACAGCATAGCAACAATATTAAAACTAGAATTATTTACTTGCACTAGTATAGAGATACAGTGTTGATAGTCATCTCTCCTAACCAAATTACAGATCGAAATAAAAGTAAATCCATCTAAAGCGTCTACTATAAAAGTATTTAAGTTTCTTTCTGTCTATATAAATCATATTTTTGAAACAAAAGCTTAATTAAGTACGAATAAGTAAAACGTAACCATCAGTCTTTTCGAATACATACGCTAACCATCTGTTTCGACTTCTCTTTCTCTCTCTCTCTTTACTATAAATAAGAAACGAGTCTTTAGTTACTTACTGTCTTCAAACAAACAAAAAGAGAATTGTCATTTTTTTGTGTGTATGTGCCTTATTCTCGATTACAGTTAATTTTTTTCAGCAATAAATGTTTCATGGCGAGACCGCCTTAAATGAACAAAAATCAACATTATCACACTAGGTGGTACCAATACAAAAACATGCAACCAACGAATAAAAAATTATACTTTCACTTTTGACAATAAAGAAATGTTCAACTCTCTCTCTCTATATATATAATTAGATAATCAAGTCAACTATCAAAAGAGCAATCTTAAAGGTTTTTTCGAGTCTATTTTATGTTTAAGAAGAACTTCGTTTGATTATTCTTTTCATTCAAAAGGAAACAGTGACTGTGGAAATGTCCACAGTTTTAGCTGAATGACAACAAACAATAATTTCAAAGTATTTCGCCTACTTTCTTCATCTACACTGAATTGTTAATAACAAACGTGAAGAAACTAAATAATAAATCAAAATTGCCTACAGAATCACTTGCAGAAAACAAATAATATTAGTAATTCGTTAAAAACTGAACAAATATGCTAATATTAAATGAATTTTTCTCTCTATTAACGAATAGCTTTTAGAAAACTCAACATACTTGACATAAATATGTCGTTCGGTCGATACTCACACACACACACACACAATGTACTCATAAAAATATAAATTTTGTGTTTTTTTATACTAATAGGTCATTTTGAAACGCATGAACGACTACTGACCAGCCTCATTTTCTATTCTTTTCGGTTTCGTATCATGTGTAATAGCAAATCTTCTCTTCATTTATCAATAAATAATGTAATAAATGAACTTAGATTTGTTAAATAATCAATTACTTAAAATAGTTTTCCAAATTTCATAATCAAAATTGATAGGTTATACAAAAATATCTTTCAATTTATTCTAACGATATTCTTAAAGTTTTCCAAAATAAATTAGATACATAATTACTATTGATATTTTTAAAAATTGTATACTATAATATAAGATCATATAAATCGAATTAATGTTAAGTATCTTTTTATTTATATTACTAATGTCAATTCTAAATATAAAAAGTATAAGTTATTTTGTCTTACCATGTTTTCCTTAAATTTCAGTTAGATGACCATTAATTATAAAATATCTCAATAGCGGTATATTGTATGTTGAAAAGCAATCAAACATTTATTTGAATATTATTAGACAAACGCATGCAATATAATTGAACAAGATTTTATACTTTGATATATCATTTGCAGGACACTTTTATTTTATTTTTTTATATGATAAAGTTTAAATGAAAATGATCCGTATATACTCTCAACTATTTACAATATTAGAGCAACAAACAAATGATAGATTTTCTTCTTCTTCTCTTTTTCTTATTTCAATATATTACACAAACAAAAAAAATACGAACGTTTTCCTTCTTTTTTTGTGTTCTTCTCTCGACTTATAGAAACAAATTGATCTTTTTTTCTAGAGATATATATGTGTGTGCTCAATTAATTCTAACCAATTCGTGTATAGACTGTTATTTTCAAGAATATATATATCCAATCAGCATTAAATGAAAATAAATGTTCTGATTGGTAATCTATGAAGGGATTTTGATTTTGTTTTTGGAGTAATTCACCTTAATTCGAAATATCAACTGAAAATTATTTAATAATTTGTTACTTAAATTAAATTCATGATAAAATATAAATTGTACAGACTTTTTTAGCTTTTTATTTTCGTTTAAACGAAGTGATGCTGATGAGAGAGACATTTAGATATAGAAATGAATATTCACATCTTTCAGAATTGACTCATTCATTTTCTAGACTAATATTCAACAATCAAAATGAGCTAAACTATTTTGATTGAGAAGATTTTTTGAATATTATTTTTGATAATGCTTCTGACTCAACAAAAGACGAGTTATTGTTATAAAATGATTTGTCTATTTCATATTCAATTTTTTCATGGAGAATAAGTTGCACAGAACAATTTTAATTATGTATTAAAACATCAATCTTTTTATTAGTGAAAAGTTTTCTATCACTATCTTATAGGATATGGGCGTACAGATAATAAAGACAGTCTATCGATTGTTTATTGAAGCACGAAGATAGTGAGTGTCTAACAATATTTTGATTTTTTAATCTTCAATTATTACTGTAGAGAAATAATTTGAACTTTTTTGTTTTTGTCTAATATATTTAAGAAAATCAATGGACTCGTCCAAGGGAATACGACAGATTGATCATTTTTTTCCTATCTCTTTTACTTTTAAATGGTTGAGATTATCATTTTACATTTACTAAGATAAATATTATAAATAATATTCATTTAAAATTTTGTAAAAGAAGAATGTAATCTAATGATTGTTGTTAATTGAAACACTGATCAATAACACCAGAAAACGAAACAAAATTACTATGAACGTTTAATATAGATATTAACAATTATTTTCATACAAAAATGGAAGTCTAGTTGAATTTTGCAATAATATAGAAATGACTGATAATCATTCACGTACTGTAGAGAATAAAATTGAATTTGTTTTTCCTCAATAACAAAACTATGTTTGCATGACAAAAGAAAATCATTCTAAAATTGTTTAAAATAAATTTTTAACTAATTTTTAGTTTAGAATTTGTTTTTTTTTCTCTGTCAAAAATGATTTGCTTCATATACAATTATTTATTATATATGTTATTTCGATTGTATGATGTTAGTCTATGACATTGTATACAAAACAAGAATTTTTTCTACTTCATTATCCATCTTAACTATCCCGCCCTCATCTCTATTATTTTTTTTACAATAAAACATGACCAGAGTGAATGACCAATAGACAGACTCTGATGGATTGAAAGTATTGTACAGTACTGTATGCACACTACACATGTTGGATTATTATGAAGAAAGAGAAAAAAAAATCGTCATTTCCCTTCAATTACTGATAAAATATTTCTTATCTGTTATTCTAATATAAACACAATCAATTATTTACAAATTAAGTTTAAGGAAGTAAACAGTCACTCTCTCTCTCTCTCTCTCTCTCTCTCTCTCTCTCTCTCTCTCTCTCTCTCCCTATCACTCTCTATAGACAAATAATCGTAGTTAACTAACCGAACACAGAAAATATGATAATTATTTTTTCTACGAATAAAAAGAAAAAAAGAGAGTTTATATATATGAAGTGATAAGTAACACAGTTTATGCATGAACACGCCCGAAAAATGTAGCATTTTGAAAATGAAATTTAGCGACGTTCAATAAAAAAAATCAAGTGGAACTAATCGAGTGCCATGAACATCCTCAAGCAAAAGGAAAGACTTTCTTTTTAGAATCTTATAACAACTAACAGCGTACAGTAAAACTATACTTTGAAAAACAAAATATTTCATGAAGGACGTAACAAAAATCTACTGCACTATCGAAATTATAACGCTCTGTTACAGAAAATGGCTCAATAATTTAAGATCCTCTCTTTTGTCAAAAAAAGTCAATTTTGAGCTTTACATATGATGTGTTAACACGGACTCTTCTCTTTTAATTACATTAATCTTTTATCACCAAAAAAAAAACGTCTTCAGGGCTTTTCGGTAAGACTTTTGATGGCTATAAACGATATTAGTAAAAAAAATGATGATCTTAGAAAAAAATATCCACACACGCAAATATCTATGCAACACCTTTATTCGTACATATGCATCAAATTCAACGTGGTCGAATACCTATAAAAGTATCTACACAAATTATTTTCAGATCAAACTTCTCAAGAAATATACCGTTTCGGAAAAAAAAGTATTTTGCTTTTTTTTCCAAAACGGATGTTTGTGTTGAAAATAAATGTGATGAGGAGAGAGGGCGTCTCAAAAAAGTATTAACTATTTCTCCATCACTAATATGTTACAGGGATCATTGTGTCAAAAATAACAAAAACACTCTCGTTAGTTTAGCGATTAAGATCTATCATTGATTATGGAAGAAGAGAATTACGAAAGAACAAATAAAAAAATGATTTTTAAAATAAACGAAAACACACCCATTCAGATTCTTATACAAACCAACTTATTCATGTAACCAACTTTCTACCACTAATAAAATTAAGAACAATAAATATCACACATTCAAATAACGTTGTAATTGTATAATTAAACAGGAAAAAGAATCTTCGTTAAATTAATAGACCTGTTTATCTTATCACAGACATGCAAACTTCAAATGTCCATTTCATATAGATCCAATTGCCATAGAGTCATTCCAATCGGGTGTCTTGTATCAATCGAATGAGAAGAAAAAGTTTTTGGAACAGTAACATCCAGATCAGATCCGTAGTAGAAATTTAGCACGATTAAACAAAGATACAAAGATATTGTGTAAGTTAAAAACAATATCAGAAACAAAACAGACCAGTCATCCCCAGCTAAAATTACGTCAGTATTCTTCTGCTTCGTAGTACACAGCATCTAACTCTGCAAACGACAGATTGAAGTTTCGTTTTCAGAAATGAAGTCAACATCATCGACTAGTCCTATGTGATCAGATGAAGGTGAAAGTGAAGAGATACGAGATGCATGCATGTTAACTTGAAATCACATGATCTTGAAAATGAAAAATAACGTCAAACTTCAACGTGCGAAACTTTCAGCAAAACTGACTGGCGCCGTTAGCTGCCAGAAACTACTTTTAGATTTAAATTTTTTTTTTGTCCAAATGATCACTTGTTTCAGAATACTCTTAACGTGACCATATTATACGGCATGTAAAAAATCAGAAAAAACATTTGTTGCCCTACTATTTCTCTTCTACAACACAAATAATTACATTTTAAGTTTTAGAAAATGAAATTTTAGATGAAATAAGCCTACTGTAGCGGTTAAAAGTCAGTCCTTTAGTATAGGAGAAGCGATCCTACTACTATCTATTTCACATTAAAAGAAGCTGTCAGAGTATATCAGATAACTCCAGAACGCGAGCAGGTGGAGACTTGCGCTTTTTTGCAGTCGAGAGCCCAGATAGGGAATAGTATACCTATAAAACAAAAATGGTTTTGGGTTGGAGCTTGAAGGCTTTTTTGAGCAGATTTCTGAAAAACCTTGGATTTTCAGGAATTTCGAATTTCTTGTTTTTTAGAGTTAAAACTGATAGACCACACATTTCTCTATAATCTAATGCAATTAGAAAAAATTCTGACATTACGCTCAAAAACCAGAATTTGACTCCAAAACCCGGGTTTTTGACACTGAGTGCTCCGATTTTCGGCATTCGACAGCGGAAACTTGGAGGCATGATTTCACAGGCAAACATTTTTTGTCTTTAGAAAAAAAAAAAGTTGAAAATCTCAGGAGATCCTTGGCTTTGTCCACTAAACATGATTATATCATCAAAACAGTTGAGAAACCATGTTTTGGTTCAGGGATTTTCGGAGAGCCATAAGGTCAGAGGTGATATTGTGTGGGAGGTCGATTCCGGATCTTATCCGGCGGGGTCCTTTATTAACTTTCATGTACATATCAAATTCCCCATCTTTGCCAAATATCACGCTTAAAAATTTAGTAATGATTTATAAATTATATTTTAAACTATCAATTTAATTACGTCTATGTTAACATAAAGTTTTTATTCAGTCATGAATTCTCCTGATAGAGAATAATTCAAACTTACGTTATTGTTGGATTTTATTTTCTCACTTGAATTTTCTCGTTTGATATTTTTTATTTCGAATACTCGTTTTTTTTTTCTTTGTCATAGGGAAAAAAAATATGTCAGACCAGTGCAACCTGTTCATACAATACAATATACATATATACATATATTTGTATTTGGTTCTAAATCTTTTTTCTGTTATTTTGATATCGTTTATTGCATATTTTGCAAGCATAAGCGAATTTATTACTTCACATTTCTTTTTTGAATAAATATGCGTCAGGAGTAAGTAGACAAAATTGATCATGCGACATAATTATAGTAATAGATTGTGAAATGTCTAGAATCAATGTTAACATTAAAACTATGAGTATTCAAAAGTTATGTGATAACTCCTACACGATAAGGTATTTTGAGTCGATTAACACCGCCCTAGTTTTAATAGTTATGTAAACGCCAAAACAATTTTGGCATTGAGAGAAGTAGATACTTGTAAAATATGATCACTCTTTCAAATTATCCGTGTATTATAATAGAATTATTAGAGTTGTTGTTGTTGTTTTTTGTTTGAATTTTCTCGTTAGGTTTCAAAAATCTACCTATTTCATTTGAGTATCAAACTAGAAACAAGAGTAGCAAATGTTGGTTATCAAAAGTTCTTAGTTTTTAATTTCTCTTAAATTCAGAACGAAACATAGACGATATTTCATTTGATTGTATAGGCAATGATCGTCTTATATAACGTAAACAAATCACAAAAGGTTATGTATTTTGAGTAAAAAAAACTCGTTTTGAATTTCAACCGCAGAAATGAAGAAATAAAAAAGAGAGAAAAAAAATACACATTTTTGGATGACATTTTAAAACTTATACTACAGTAGTCAACATGTATAATATTATACACTGATTCAACAATAAAAGTGTCCGATATGAAACATGTTCGATATAAGCAGTTATTATCATAATATCAAACACTGTATTATTAAAAATAATTGCGTATCGTTCAGCAAATTTATATTTTGAGGACAATCTATTTGAACAATATGATTCGATATTCATGATTAAAACACAATCTCGAAAAACAAAAACAGCCGGAAAACTAACATTGTTTAAAATGAGAGCAAAAAAAGTAGTTCCAGTTTGAAATTTTTGTAAAAAAATTTGGTTTTAAACTGTTTCTTCTATAATAAAGTTTTTTTGTTAACTAATTCAACACATGCTGTTTCGCAGTGGACGATGAACTGTAGTGAAAAATACACTATTTCAGCAAAATACCATACAGATTATCGAAACGAGAAAACAGACACTTTAAGAAAAAACTTAATTTTGTTCATTTGTTTTTCTAAATTTTTATACGTGTAAAAATGCCAAGAGTTTACGGTGATAATGTAAACTTCATTGAATTGTATAAAAATCATTGAAATTACTTGTAGTAAATACAAAAAAAATATTATAAAAAGTATATTTTTGTTTCGAAAACAAATTATTTTTACAAGGACTAGAGAATTAAACAATATTTCAAATAGCGTCTATTCCTAAATTAAAATTTTGATAATATAAATAATATATTCATTAAAGAATTTCAGATTTAATTAAAAGTCATTGTTTTACATTTGTCAAGTTTACTTAATAATAAAAGAGGTCTGTCAACATCATAAATCGTTTTCGTGCTAAAGAACATAAAGGATTAAAAGCAAACTGTTGTTGCTACATTTCTATCAATAATTTTTCGAAGAAAGATAAATTAACATGATAAGAAAATGATTGAAGATATTTTAGTTTACTGTAATTTAGATTTATAATAGAGAATACATGTTTACATGAAACGCTGATCCAACATAGTAATAGGACGTAGTAGTTTGTCATTTTGACAATTCACAAAAACACAAAAAAAGAAAACAAACAGAAAAAGAAGTAAAAACAATGAACAAAAGTTTTTTGTGTATGCTTCGCATCAGCTAAATTTTTCATTAATAGAGCTGATGTATTATTGTGGGAATGTTTCTGACAAAAAAAGAACGAAACAACATGACCACTACAATGAGAGAGAAGAAAAATATAACTGACAACAAACGAACAAACCACACGCAACAAAAAAAAAGAGATAAACAACAACAACTCCGCTGTCACACGTGCTTTCATATTGACAGGCAAACAGAAGAAAAAAAAAACTAAACAAAAGAAGAACTGTTTTTTTTTAATGTCTTGTTTATTAGGAGCAGTCATCTATTTTTTTTGCGCAAAAAAACACAAAAATATATTTTGTCCAGAGCTGCTTTCGAGCTGGCACAACATCGTTGATGTCGTTGTTGCTATTATTATTTAAAAATATACGTACACAATAATAAATTTCGCATGTATACAGAAACACTCATATAAAAAAACAGTTATATTGACTAATTGTTTTTTGGTTATGTTGTTCGACCGTTGTATGCAGCAAATGCTGCTGCCTGTTGTGAATAACTAGTTCCAGTTTGACCACCAGTTTGTGAATATCCTTGTGTCGACGGTGTTGCACCGGTCGAAGTCATATAATTTGTTGATGGAGCCTAAAAACAGACAAAACCAATCGACTATATCATGACATTCAAAACTTATTATTTATTATGTTTTAGAAACTTTTCTGTTTCAGAGACAAGCTATGACGTTGTTTATTTTATTTTTACGCCTAAAAACGTATTTATAGTGTTTTATAGTCAATAATTCATACACCAAAGATAGTTTTTGATTAAAATATATACAAAGTGTTCTTACTAAAGATCCAAAATGATTCATTACAACATTACGTGGATCATGACTAGAACAACAAGTGACCATTAATTTCTAGTCATTCAGAGTCGTAAGCTTAACATCATATACATCTTTTAAATATTTTCTAAAAGGTTTATGATAAGCGGGTTGGTATATAATACGTGGATTCTTCAAGTCAGAAGAGCTGCCAAAAACATCAGTAACGAGTATATCATCTGATTATAGAATAAACCTTGTAACTATCTGACAAAAAAAGCATCATTACAAAATCCCTGTTTTATGGTCTCAAGTTAATCTGCTCAACATGTTCAGTTAGAATACTTTTCTCTGTCAAATAAGCATCACCAACGCTGTTTCCTTTAATAAGTAAAGATACCCGGCTTCTTCTTTCAAACCCAATGGCTTCCACTTAGACGCTATGTTGGAGAGAACTTCTTGTAGAGAAATAACTCCATTCACACATACAATAATAATAGCGGTCTTTACTACCTGATGTTTTTCCAAAGCCGGACGGCTTATAAGTCAGTTTTATTGTTCTAATACATAAAATCATTGATATTTTCTTGAAGAAAAGAAGATTAACAACAGTGCCGCTGCAGCTGAAGATGCCAATGTGATGCTAGAAGATGATGATCGTCCTTATACGACAACAATGTCTTAAACAAACCACGACAGTACAGTATGTACAATAGAAGAGGATAAAAGTATATCACTGCAATAAAGAGCATTATTTTACTGTGTAAGAGTAAACAGTTGAATAATAAAGAGAAAATATTTTTTCTTTTCGAAACTATTACAATAATGAACCTCTTGACATCCACGTTGTGAGATGAAAGTTCACTTTCAAAAAAGAAAAAGGTATTTTCTTTATTACTCAATAGTTTATTTTTTCATTTTTTCACTGTTTTAGAATTTAAAAAAAGATGAAGAAAGTCGGAGTACGTCAAATGGCGTCGAGATCATGAAAATCGGACCATCTCGTCTTTAGAAAGATCATCTCAAGAGCACTAAGTAATTAAGGAAAACCTCTCTTTTAGACAATTTTGCAAAACTTCAGTCGGGGATCAAAACACAAAGACGGTTTTCAAAGTAGATAGTCTATGAAAGGATTGGAATAAAATTATTTCGTATTTTTGAAATATGCATATATGAATAAAAAAACTTACAGCTTGAATATAATACAAAACCAAATAAACCGTCTGTGTATAAATAAACAATCAATCTCAGAGTATAATTCGATGACGTATACACGAACTTGAATCGGGAGATAACGAACTGATTCACCCGTTCTAGAAGTAAGAATCAGGTTGACAAATGTAAAGATTTGACTATTCTTGTCTTGTTGAAAGGAAAATATGACCAATGGGATGAGAGAGATCAAGCTCGCAAGTTGGACACTAACACATCTTAGTTATTCTGATCAGATCATGGCCTCAGACAGTAATTACATGAAGACGGTTCAGTTCATACGCAGACACAAGAGTAAAACAGTGATCAACATTAGAGCAAAAAAGAGTAATAACTGTCAGTCATACTTCACTTCCCACATTAGTTGACTCTTTCGAATAGAAAAATTATTTCATTGTAAGTTATTATCATACGTTACGGGCACAAAATTAACTTGACCGTATATATGCAAGGCGTAGTAGGCATTTTCTTCGTCTCGTGCTGTCACGCACAAAAGAAACTAAAGTAGTAATCGATACACGAAATTATTATTCGTGTTTGTTGTTCGTGAAACTGTCACTCGTATTAATAATCTGAATTATATGCTTAATTTTAAAACATTCGGTGAATACACCAAAAATTGCTTCCTAGCTCTTTCATCATAGCACACATTCCTAAATCTGTTATAAAAAAACGATGAAGCAAAGATGAACGTACATAAGATCAAGAGATGAAATCTTAGAGATTTCAAATCTGTAGAAGTAACCTACAATGTTTGGTGTATCGTCGCTATTAGCAATTATGAAAAGGTAGCTCATTAAAAAATATCGTCTTACCACAATGCCGTATGATTGTAATGATGGCTCAACTTTTCCTGTTGTCTGCTGTTGTTGAGCAGCTGCTGCCGGATTTTGTTGTTGCATTTGAGATGCATACCATTGTTGATACTGTTGAATTTGTTCTGGTCCATATCCTGCTTGTAGCCACTGTTGCATCCATGCCGATGTATCATATGGATTGGTTACAGCAGATGTACTAGTAGTTGATTGTTTTGAATCTGAAGGCGGTAGTGGTGGTGGAACTGCACTGGGTGTCTGTTGTTGTTGCTGTTGTTGTTGTTGCCAAGCGTTCGCCATTTGTGCGTATGGATACGATTGATTTTGATATGGATTAGCTACTGTATTCGCCAACGCAGCATGCTGAGCAGCTGCAAGTTGTAATTGCTGAAGACTCTGCTGTTTTGTTTGTAATTGCTGCTGAAAATTGATTAAATATTGTTGTTGCTGGGACGAAATTGGTTGACCCTAAAGAGAAGAATAAAAAAAAATTTTTTTGTATAGATAGCTTTCAGTGATTATTATCTTTTTCATTACCTGTTGTTGTGCTACCATAGCCTGATTTAATGCTGTAGTATACTGCTGATATTGTTGTGCATATTCTTGGGATGCTCTCGCATAAACAAGCCCTGAAATCGAAATCAGTTTCCAGAAAAAAATCAGTAAACAAAAAGGCATAAATAGACGGCGTACCTGGATTTTCCTGTGTCGTTTGTTGTGTTTGTTGCTGTTGTGACCATTGATTATTTGATTGTGATTGCTGCTGTGAATTTGTATCTTTTGGCCATTGTGAATTTTGTGCCATTTGATAATTTGTAATTTGATTATTTTGGTTCTGTGGTGACTGTTGTTGATTTTGTTGACCACCGTCCCAACGACGTTTGCGCGTTTGATCTTGTTGATTGTTCCAATCAGAACTTGACGTTTGTCGCTCTGGTCTACCACCTCCACGCTTTTGTCCACCACCCCTCCCCCCTCGATTTCTCTCATCGTTTCCCCGATTACTCCGACTAAAACTACCACGGCCACCTCGATCGTTATTAAATCCACCACCACTACCACCCATATTATTATTCGGTCCATCATTATAATTCGATGATGCCATACGATCTAGTTCATTTGTCAAATTTGACATACTATTAGTATTTGTTATCAATGTAGGTGTCTGTTCATCAACAAGAGGTTTAATGACACTTGGATCAAAATTACTAAAATCGATTGACATTAAGGCTGGTGGCAGAACAGCGGGAGTTTGTGATGCGCTCATTTGACTATGTTCATCTGTAGCGGTCGAGTTCACATTTTGATTATTTCTTGGGTACCGATTGGGGCCTCCCTGCCCATTACCGTTAGGAAAAAGTTCCATTAGTGATGGTGGTGGACCACTTCGTCGTCGATTACTAAAACTATTATTGTCGTATTGATCTTGATTATAATCAGTCGAATCATTCATTCTTGAGTGTGGTTGATACTGTGGCACTATAAAGGAAATCCACAAAAAAGAAATACAATAATATTAAGAAAATTAATAGAATATTTACCTTTGACATTTTGAACCCATTGATTATAACCATTTTGTCTTCCAATTTGTAACAGAACTGGATGAACTGTTTGTCCTGCTTCGTCTAACATTTTTATTAATGCACATGCATGTTTTCCATCTTCTCGTTGAAAAAATGTAAAAGCTGTACCAAAATTATTACTTCTTCCAGTCCTTCCAATACGATGAATGTAAACATCGTCTGTATTTGGATAATCATAATTAATAACAAATCGAACATCGTCAACATCTAAAAAAACGTATTTTACTTTCGATTCAATTTCGTATATCTCATCTTCAAATAAACCAATTACCTAAACCACGTGATGCTACATCAGTGGCTAATAATAATGCATTTTGCGTCTCACGAAACTCTAAAATAAAATTTCTTTCAAGATCAATTCAAACGGCAGAGGAAGTAAACAACAGACCTTTAAATACTTCATTTCTAACTTGTTGTGACTTTGAACCATGTAGTAATAGCGCTTTATACCCTTGCTGTTCTAACTCTTTATTTAATCTATTAACTTTTTCTCTTGTTCTAACAAATATAATACATTTATGTTCTTCTTCTTGACTAATATCTCTCAATGTATTAAATAATTGTTGTCGTTTTTGTTGTTCATTACATATTTGTACGATTTGTTGAATATTTAAATTCACACTGTACTCTGTCAAACAACCAATTGTGACATGAACATAATCTTTTAGATAATCTTCAGCTAAACCTTTAATTGTTTTAGGCCATGTAGCAGAAAACATACACATTTGTCGAGTTTGTCCATCACCATTTGTTGATTTAAAATCGTTTAATATTTGTCGAACTTGTGGTTCAAAGCCCAAATCAAACATTTTATCGGCTTCATCTAATACAATATAGGTAACCCGATATAATGTTGTTATACGATTTTCAAGAAAATCCAATAATCGTCCTGGTGTACAAATATAAACTTCGCGGCCTTCACCAATTTCTGATATTTGTTTTTCTCTTTCATCTCCACCAATAATACATGATGATTTAATATTGAATAAATCAAAATATGATTTTGATACTTGATGAATTTGTTGAACTAATTCGCGTGTGGGGGCAAGTACGATGGCCAACGGCCCATCGTCCGGTTGCAATGGAGGTTGCTTGCGAACATGTAACAACATTGGAATAATAAACTAAATGAGAGAAAAGATAAAAGTCTATTTAAGGTTGACATTATAAATTCAGTCGGGTTCATTAATAGATTACTCAAATGAAGTGAAGAACTCTACTCGTCTGAAAAAATACCATTAGTAGAAATCTCTACAAAAGCCCTCAATACATATTAGGGCAGAAAAAAACGTAAGTAGGTTACATCTCAAAAAGTACGCATTCGTCTTACTCCTAGCGTTTTCCCAGATCCTGTGCTTGCAATTCCCACAATGTCACGTCCTTGTTGTAAAACGGGCCAAGCTACAGATTGAATGGGTGTTGGTAGTTCATATTCATTTTCTTCAAATACTTTTAATATTTCTTCTAGAATGACAGACAGGCAAAGTTAGATCGGTTTCTAACTTGAAATACACATCAATAGAAACTAACCTGGAAAATTTGTATCAGAAAACTCAAAACATGGTTTGATATTGTCCCCATTTTCAACTCTTATATTGTAATCATGATAATATTGTGCTATTTCGTCCTTTGGATCGAATGAAAAACGGAAGCTTTCAGAAACAATATGAAAAAGCTGAAAGATCAGCTTACCAGTGGTTCCTTTGTACTATTACTATTATCGTTGTTATTCTGTTGTTCTTTATTTATTGATGTTTGTTTTTGCAACATCGATGGCTGTACATCATTCGTTGTATCGTTCACCGCGTCCTTGTCATTCGTTGATTCAGATGAATTTTCTTTAACCGCAGCATCACTATGATTTTCATCATAAGCTAAGCTGTTGTTGGTAGCTGGTTTCACATCTAAACTCATCTGAAACATAAATTTATACTGATATTTACGTAAAAAGCAAACTCTCACAGTCTTTTCAAGAAAACAACACCTTCGCTGGCTCAACAGATACCAAAGAAAACAAGATATTGCTAATGATTACTTAATTTCAGTTCAGTAAAAATATGATTATTATTTCTTTCTGCCATTCTCTCCTAACGCATGCCATCACCATTGCCAGTGACAAATTCACAGGTACAGAATTTTTTCATTAGGTGAAGGAAAACGATATAGATGTCGCATTCATTCAAGCACGATCACACACCACTTTCATATTTGCTGAGCACTTCCTATTATGTTTTTGACCAATTCATGCTAGAACTAAATCAGCAATATCTACCGTAGATGACAACGAAAAGTGTCGCTAGTGTGTGAAAATTCAAAACCAAGCTGTCCTATTGATATTATAATATTGCTATATGTTCATATATGATGGAAACACGAACTTTTGGACGCGACCATAATTCTTGTAAGTAAAACACTGCATGATAGTTTTTTGAGAGTTTCACTTGAGTTTTATAGGTTTTTTAAATTGAAACGACACTGCACTTTTTTACATAAAAAATTTCAAAAATTTTCGACGCAAGAAAATAATTTCTGGTTCATACAATCTCGATTCAAAAGAAAAGATAACCGTATATTGAAAAAATGAATTCCCTTTCATTTGTGTCTCATAATCCCAGCTCTGAATTTTTTACTTTTATGGGTGTCCCGCACTATTATATTACTATTATGAATGACGGTTCTTATGCAAATATGAGAACAAAAAAGGATAAGATTAACTGTGAAAAAATATTCTCAGCAAATGATGAATAAATCATTGTTCGATGATCTATCAATGTCTTGTTTTTGAATCCCACATATCTGTACTCAAGATTATAATTTATAACACTGCACAATACAGACCTGAAGCACACGTGCAGATTTGACTAATATATGAGGAAGAGAGAGCAGACAACAATCATGCCCCTAACTTCTCCTTATAGCTACGTGAAATGGTCATTGTTTAAGAATATTGATACGTCATTTTGAACTGCCGTATCCATATCACTCCAATATTCTGTTCCATCAAATACTGTATTCTTTGTTAACAGGGTCTTTTTTTTTAAGCTTTTTCTTTTAACCATGCTGATCTGCTGCATACAGTAATATACAAGGAACATCAAAAAACCTCACCATTATACGATTTTTAAAAAGTGAATCCAATCATGATAAAATAATCTGAGTATCTGAAATTGATGACTTTAATTTTTTGCACTCAGACAGCCATCATATTTAGGAGAGCTAATGTAACGACCTTCATGTTGTAAGTGCATAGAGGGTGCGCTATACATCTCAAATACTTGCCTGAATCATAGAAAACATTTGTTTATGATCTATAAGAACGAAACTCTCTATCAGTTTCCTTTCGTTTTGTTTATGAAAAACCGTCACGCTGGAACAGCCTCTACTTTCCGACAAATCATAGTTTAATTTTCTGTCCAATAAATCAAGGGTAAATGATAGAACTCAGACATCCAGTATTTTCCATTTCAAAATACGGCCATGCAGAGAGAGACAAAGAGACAGAAAGAGAAAGTACATGTGCATCTATGGAGTTTTCCGTTAATGAAATCGATGTTCTCCCATAAAATGTTTAGCTTATGCCTGTATTTAGGTCGCCTAGTGCGTCTTTAAAATTTGCCGTTCGGGCAATAAACGTCGTTTATCTACACGAGGTTACTACCATATGTTAAAATCTGTCGGTACATAATAAGGATGAGGTTATTTTATGAATTTAATAAATTCTCGTATGGCTTGAGTATACATGTTACTTATAAGCGATAAAGTCTCTGAGTATTTGGATTATTCCAGCGAAACAAGTGTTGTTGTACGGTGCAAAAGATGAATAAACTTAGTTTCAGTTTATTATACGTTATAGTTCTTGATTTTTCTAGAATGAATTTTTGCGAGCGCATCAAGACGGTTTTGGAGAGTCTTGTAAATGTTTCCTGTTTTTATCTAAATCCATCTTAACCCTTTTTTCATTGCAGATATTTTTTTCGCCGTTTTATCATCATCTAAGATGGGTTTTGGTAATCTCGAATCAACCGATGGTCTTCAATTGTTAAATTCATTTTTAGCAGACAAAAGTTATATCGAAGGGTAGTAGTATTAGATTCTGAAAATTGTTTCTTGCTGAAATAACGTGTTGCTTCCCTTTCGGATCACAGATTCCACCCATCTCAAGGTGATATTGTCGTCTATGAAACCCTTAGAAAAACACCACCAAAAGAATTAGAAAATGCATTTCGTTGGTATAAACACATTTCCTCATTTGATAATAACGAAAGACAGAAGTAAGAAACTTGTATGATATTTTCGGTACAGAGTATTTGACCATACTATTTTTTAAGATTTAAAGGAGAACGAAAAACAATTGAGCATTATGGTCGAGTACATGGACAAGATAGTCTTGAAAAGCATTCTTTTAAATCACTGTCAATTGATCCTCACGCTAATTCACGTGAACAAACATCTACAACAAGCTCAACGGTGACGAAAGCTAAGAGCGGAGATGATGACGATATCGACCTGTTTGGATCTGATGATGAAGAAAACGAAGAAGAAAAGAAAATACGTGAAGAACGATTAAAAGCTTATGCGGATAAAAAATCCAAGAAGCCAGGTACATAAAAATAATTTTGTTAAGGATATACTTCGAATAGTTTTCTTTTTTTAGGACCAATCGCAAAAAGTACAATTGTTCTAGACGTATGTAGCCCGTTCAATGACATTTGAGACACCACATTGATCAGTCGTTTCTTGCTTCAAGGTAAAACCGTGGGAAGACACCACTGACTTGGTTGAAATGGAACGTCTGGTACGTTCAATTACATTAGATGGACTTGTTTGGGGTGCATCTCGTTTAGTGCCATTGGCATTCACAATCAAGAAACTTCAAATAAATTGTGTTGTTGAGGACGATAAAGTAAGCGTTTTAGAGCTATTTGCGAAGACTTTCTTCAATCACGCAGCATATACTTTGCTAAGAGCTAAATTGCTTATTGCTTTTTAATCTCTTCGAATCTTTACTTGGATGAGTTAATTATATTCTCAATTTTTTATCGAGAAATTTTATATTCAAAACTATTGTCGGTGTAAGTAATTTAATCTTGAATGGGATCGCATCCAGTATTATAGTAGTCTAGATTAAAGAAAAAGAGCAGTTGAACGATTGGTTAAAAATCTCAACAGTCGTAGAGTGATTAGTCATTATGATTGTTAGTTAGTTTATTCTATCAAATGTATATTTTATTTAGGTTGGCACAGATATTCTTGAAGAACGTATTATGGAATTTGAAGAATATGTTCAATCCGTTGATGTCGCTGCATTTCAAAAAATATAGTAAAATGCGCACAGTGAAACGCACGTGCGCACACATTTCCCAAATTTATTCTTTATCATTATTTGTGAAGCCTGTTTTTCTTTACCGTTTTATCTTTTATTTTTATTTTATTGAACATTAATATAAAAAAAGAAATGAATAGGAATGGCATCTTCCGTTTTTGATGTTTTTCTCCATTGGTTTATGTTATATCATGCTTTTTTATTCTATTCATTTTAGATGTCTGCTATTGAAACAAAGCTTTATGTGACTAATTTTCCATCGTCCACTACACGTCAGCAACTGCAATTGTTTTTTGGACGTTTTGGTCGTGTACAAGAATGCGCTATTATGTGGAATTCATACGCATTTGTACATTATTCAAATATTGATGAAGCTAAACGTGCTTTAGAACAGTCAAATGGTGCTTTGTTTTTAAATCGAAAATTGATAGTTCAAGTATCAACAAGTAGATTTCGACCAAATCCAAAAGAAATTACGAATGGTGGTGGTGGAGGACATAATGTGAACGTAGACAATGGGTTTCAACATGCATTTCCGGTAAACGGTGATATTGATGGATGGTACAACAACAATACAAGACAAAAGCTTCAGCAGCATCAATCGTCCAGATATAATTATATGAATGGTAGGTAATCTGTACCTGAATATGTCTTCTCTTCAGTCTTAAGTCAAATGTTTTTCTTAGCTTGTAGCTCATTATTTTTGATTAGGATAGGCAACAGCAGCTTTAAGTAATTGCTTATGTACGAATGACGTAGACTTTCTTTTAAAACGTTTCATTTCTTCGCACAATTGTTCTCAGAAATAACACTTAAGCTTGATGATATTAAAGATAGTTTCATTTCTCTTTCTCTTAGACTAAGATGAGAAGACGTTAATCGGATTGTTTTTGTATTTTGTTTCTTAAAAGAGTTTACATCCTTGTAACTTGAATCTGAACTTTGTAGTTAAACATTTGCATACTAGTCTTTTCTTTTTTCTTCTAGAATCGAACTATGACACTGGTTTTAATCATCAACCTTATTTATATCAAAATAGTTGTCAAGAACAACATAATAGTAACAATAATTACTCACCATCGTTTCTTATTCAACAAAATAATAATCAATATTTACCGTCTTATTATCAACAACATGACAGTGATAATCAACATTATCATCATATTGTAAATGGTAACAGTTTATTACCTACTGTAGATCATTCTACACCGTCACCATCTTCCATTTCTAATGATCAACATTATTACAACCGTATCGATTCAAATATGAATCAGTTACAGCAACAGTATACAAATCGAACAGTATTAAATTATAATGAGATTGGTAGTAGTGGTGCAAGTAGTTGTAGTAGTAATGGAAGTACAAATGGAGACGTTGAAAACAAAATAGTATTACAGAACAATGGTAGTGACGACGCAACAGTAGCAGCTGACAAAAGTGTTGTAAAAACAAAAAAAACAATTAGAACAGGTAAGGAAATCACAGTTTTCAGTTGATCAAGATTTCTGATTGTTTTTCGACTAGTGTGGGATATTTCAACTTTGAGAGACAGTTAATAAACAAAATAAAATATTTGCATATTAGAGGGAACAATAAACTGGTGTAATATTTTCATGATATTCACTAGAATTTTAGTGCAGTGTGTTCAGACATAAGTATTGTAAACATAACGCCTGTGGTTCTAACCTATCCATTAATCAGCTACAACGATTATCAATGATGACTGAAACCTTAGGACACCTTTGCAATTAAACGTGGCAAAAAAACACTTTCTGCCTATTTTCTGAGATAATCGTTGATTTATAGTTAAAAGTCTATATAAATATATAGCTATATTGAATGAGTGATGATGAATGATTTATAAAGATGCTTTTTTCTTTTAGATGTTGGTACTAGCGGTGAGATACCAAAACTGTATGTTACGAATTTACCAGACAATTGCAAAGCAAATGACTTACAACGCTTATTTTCTAATTATGGTGTTGTGGTGGATTGCGTTATTTTATGGGACTATTATGCATTCATCACATATAGAAAATTTCCTGAAGCTGAATTAGCTTTGCAAACGTTACATGGGCAACCATGGAAAGACAGACGTTTGATTGTTGAATGGTCAAGAGCATCAGGTAAATCTCAGCAGACTTTTTAGTAAGTTTTACTAAACTAAACTAGTTTCTGTTTTAATAGGAAGAAGACAAACAACTACAACATCAACTGGAATAAAGAAGGATCAATTATTTAATACTTCTTCGTTATTAAATGGAGGAGAACGACAGCAACATCAGTCGTCGTATATGTCAAGTGAGTGTTTATCTACAAAACGTTCTTGCCTTTTTTTGCAACACAGCGGTTAGACGCACAAGTTAAAGATGTAATCACAAAAAAATAATTGGCGAAGTTTGGTTTAAATGATAGTGAATCTCTAAGTCTGTCCACCGTAGGAATACTAATCATGAGAATTTATGTAATATGGTTAACAGCAAAACTGATAGATCGCTCCTTTTTAAAACGCCTATCAAATCTCTATTTTTTAGCAGGTGACAAAGACTTTAACCATAATTTGTTTATGACAAATAACAGTAATTTGTCTCAACAACCATTATCTCCAACAAACTCCTCTTTATCACAACTAGATCAATCACCGCGTGTTCGTCCAGCAACGCTATCATATCTTCCACATTATCATCAACACCCCTCAACAACAATGATATCTCCAGCACCAACAGTTCAACAGTCACCATCACTTCCACAATCACCTCAACAGCAAGCTTTTTCAATGAATCGAAATCTACTGATGTTATCACTCTTACAACAACAACAATCACTCGAAGCGCCTTCATCACCGGTGTCGAATCATCATACAAATGGTTATTTAGGAAGAGCAACTCCATCACCACCTAACAATGGTGTTGGTTTTTCCGAAAAAAATAATACACCGTTACATAATTCTTCTTTTGGTACCTACGCTAGTTCAGGTATCGATCAACTAGCGAACAATAATATAACATTCGAATGGTAAGTCCGAGAAAAAAATGTTATTAAAAACCTTTTCTTTGTTACTTAGAGTTGCTCTCATTTTTTTATGTTATATCATTTGTATCTCTTCTAGTTTGACTACTTCAAATAGTACTAATGAATCTCCGTTCGATAATTTATTATTTGATAAAAATATTAATACAAATCCAAAAGGTGTTATAGAACACACACAACAACACACAATGTCTGATATTGTTGCCTTATTAGATGAATGTACAAGTGATCAAAGTGGAACAAAGCCGTTATCAGATCTTCAAACTACTTCAACTACGTCTTCTTCATCGTCAACACGTACAGAACCATCGGTTATATTCAATAACGAATCATTTTTATCCTCATTATTATGGAATATTGATTTTCCGTCAGCAACAGGTAATCCATCAATCAAACAATCCGTTTTGAATAAACTGTTTGAATCAACAACAGATTGTTTTCAAAATCATCAAGAGAATATTGCTCCATCATCACAACAAACATATCCCTATTCATATCATTTACCATTAACAACAGCTCCAGAAAATAATCATCAATCATCGATGTATTTTTATAATGGGTGGCATTAAAAGAGCAAATCGATACCTCTTAACCGGTGGACGGCTGTCTCTCTCATTTCCTTTTTGTTTTCCAGGTACACACAATTTTTTTTTCTGTTTTTTTTATATAGTCATGTGTTACTATATATGACATCAATTGTTAACTTTGCTTGTTGGTTATTACCACAAAAAGAATAGTATTCATTCTTTTTCTTTTCCTTTTGTCACTCTAGTCGTACACATTGGACTTTCGTTGTCGCGCTAATTTAGGAAAATTATCACGCTTGCTTCCTTAAAACGAATTGTAGTTTTTTTTGTGTTCTTTCTATTTATACATGATTGTATCGGTTTTTGATCTTTTCTAAGAAAAGATCTATCATCTGTCTTTCTCGACGAAACATACATTCTCACTCTTTAACCGGTTAGAATCAACGCATGATTTTCTTTCTTCGTTTCTTTCGCTCTTTCTCCTTCTTCAGTAATATAAATACAGTTAGTTTCTTTTATAGTAGACGATTCTCTAAGTAATAGTGCACTTTAAAGAAACAAGGAACTTTTGTAGCGTTTATTACTTTTTCTATAGTAGAAATGACAAAGTCTACTGTCAATAAAATGTGTTTCTACAATATTAATTACGAAAAAAGATAAAGACGCATTTTCTTTTCTCTTTGTTATAAACGATAGTCAAAATAGTTTCAAAATTATAGGTTTTTTTTTTAAAAAAAATTTCATACAGCAGAACAGTCACTATGAGTCCCGATTATCTCTCTTTATCTCACTCGATTCAGGTATTTATTTCCATAATTACAAAAGAGTTGGATGTATATGTACCTTTTGAACACTTTAATTTTTTTGTTTCTTATCGATTTTTTTTGTTTTGTTTTTGATATTTTTCATTTTCTACCTTGATCAAACATCCACTTTACACCGTGCCATTTGTGTATGTGTGACATTTCTATTTTATTCTGTTTCTTCCATGAAAAAAAAAATACACGCAGAGATCTTATATTCTCTTTTATTAAAGCAGGGAATGATTTTTTCGTTAAAATAGGCGATTATAGTTTAGAATTTGATTTGCTTTGTGTACACTTTTTGGATGTTTGTCTCTGTATTGTTGCTTTTATTGCTATATACTTGCTGCACATGTGTGTATATCTCGTTCTCAGGATAAACTCATTCGATCGGCGATACATATTTAAACAAGAAACAGTTTGATCTTTTTTTCTCTCTTTTTTTTGTTGTTGTTGTTGTCGTTTATCTGACCATGACTACTGTTTTCTCGTTGTACGCTATCTGATTGAGATCACGAATGTTTTGAATCCGGTTTCTCTTTTTTGTTCGTTTGGTTATTTTTGTTTTTTCATTTTCAGTTTTTCTTTGTAATACATCTATGGGTATGTACGATTGCGTGCATAATAATAGAAGAATTTTTTTGTTTTGTGTGGTGTCGTGTGTGCATTTAGTATTTAAATTGAAGCAGTTATTTCGTAAAATGAAAAGTAACCTTCAATTATTATTTAGTCTTGCTTCAACAAAAAAAAGCTTGCTGTGTAGAAAAACTTATCTATCTTTGTATATGTGTGTGTACCCACTTTTTTTTCTCTCTTTTTAATTGTTATCTAACATAATGATGATGTTTGTGTTGAACACTTTTCTGGTACTATATGATATGTTTGTGTGTGTTTGGTAAGATCTTCTGTTTGTGTGTTGTTATTTCTCTCTATCTCTCTCTCTTCATTTATTCTATTCGTTTATTTTTCTAAAAATAAATAAGAACTATGAAATTTGGAGAATAAAAACATAATTTCTATACATAAAAATCATCTGTGAGAAGAGGAAACATTGGTTGGACATACTGAACGTACTCTCAAATATTATTATAAAATCACTTGACCGTTTCTTGATACGCGTATTCAACAACACTTTCAAGCAAAACTTTAGCTTTAGTTCTCTCAACTACTTTTTATTACTAGATATCTTTTCTCCTTTATGGTATATTACTTCTATTCAAGTATGTAAACAAAACAGGAGTGAGTTGTTAAACCTTGCGAGATTGACTTTTTTTATCCCAACATTTGTTTTTGCATTCTAATGACAACTGCGTTCCCTATGTCCACTTACATGGGGACTGAAAAAATGGAGAATCTAAGTCAAGATGAACACTCGACATCAACAAAGCAACTAAAAATCAATGATAAAGATAACAGTTCTAGCGACAATGATATTTAATAATTAATTATTTTCAATACGATTAGGATAATAAGAGGTATTTTGTGACTTTTTTTCATGTAATTTATCAAAATTTTGATCAAAGAAATTAATATACTGTGGTGGTGGTACATGTTTATCGAACGACGAAG